ACCGACCCCCCGGCTTAGCCAGAGCCGCCGCTGTCGCAGACGGGGCTGTGGCCGGTTTCCGGGGCTAAGCCCGCGCTTCTTCCCCCGGAGGATCCATCCCGCCGCTCCGCCACCTCCCGCTGCCCGGGGCTAACTGCACTAGCTTACCCCCCGAAAACCTAACCCCTTTCTGGTGGAGCATCTCCCCAGTGCGCCTGGATAGCAGTTCTGGTTTTCCTGATGCTATGCAAAAATTGTAAGCAGTTTCCACGCACTGTGTCCTTTTCATGACAACTGGTCCCTGCGCGCTGCTGGGCAATGAGGAAAAACGTCCTTTAAAGGCAGATACCTGGGAGAACTACCGTAATTTATTCACCTTGTGCAACTATTTCAGTGGAAGGTAGTGGCTGCAATCTACTCTGGAAGGAGATTCCCCACTAGACGAGTTTTCCTTTACATGACCTTCACAAAGGCTTCTTCATATCACCGCTCCTCAGAGGCATTCCCCCTGTTTAAAAGAAAGTGTAAAAAGTTTATTAGTTTTAAAATCTGTATGTTCTCAGTTCACTCAGAAGTTTGGGACTATTAAGAGTTACGTTTCCTTTAACAGGATATCTATAGTATCTTAAAGTGACCAGAAGTATGCTAATAGATTCTAATGGTTTACAAAACACATCAAAGGATATATTTTTTAGTTGTTATGACAAAAGCAATCTGACATGTATGTAACAGCATATGTAGCTGTAATGCATTAGCGAGATGTAAAACAGACTTCATAGGGACTGGTTCATGTCTGAAAGATTTACAGCTTCTGTTAATAACACTTAATAAAAAGTAGAAGCAATCAAAAATCACAATAGATACTTAGAACATGAAGTCTCTCTGGGAAAATGGCAGGCTACAGGGCATGGCTGTAAGTAGGTTAGTCCCTCTCAGCACAATCACCACCCAACTGTATCTTCATTCCACAAATGTAGTTTTTAGAATTTAACAAAGTGTTGTTTGTTTGCCTTATGTCTGTTTATGAATTTCCCAGGCTCAGTTTAAGTTTTGATGAATGATGCATGAAAATTGTCCAAACGTACTTAAATTCATTTAATAAGTATCTGTAGCTCTGATTCTATTTTTAAGGAGGTTATTAATTTCCTTTAAATCCCTGTTGGCAGGTTTTTCACAGTCCTCAAAGAACACTCATTTCTATGTAAAATATGTTATGACCTCCTTTCAGCAGAGATGATTTATTTACCCTATTAAATTAATAATAGGAAAATCTAACTTTTTGATTTTTTTTTTTTTTATTAAAAGTGTAATTGGTAGGTGAAATTGTCTGGAAACTCCTGACACAGACACGAAACCTAGAAGCCCATAGCTGCACAAGCAAACTTCACTGGATAGTATCAGTATTTTCTTACGGGTTTTTATTTTGTGCACTTGCCCTGTGAAGGACTTGCTACTACATTTGATCACTTTCAGTTAGACAATAAATCAATACTGAGGTTTGATTTCTGGATATTTGAGTCTTTGAGACAAAACAAGGTTTCAACAGCATGCGAAAACTCCTTACTAGAACGAATAGATTTCACAAACTCTGTATCGCTCATCTGGGTGTTTAAAAATCTGGCACTTAGGAACTTCTGTGAGATTTTATGAACTTTGGATAGCCTTAGTGGCAAATTTCATGAGGTCCAGACACAAACTCGGCAGGTTAGGCTTTACTGGCTTTTCTGCAGCTTTAACTAGACGAGGCAAAATGCAGTGATTTCTGTGTACACTCAGTGTGTCTGTGGAAAATATATTGATTCATTAATACCTTAAACTGGGCAGCATCCCTGTCAATGGGATTTTGTTTTTCAGTGAGTCTTCACAGCACTGAATTCACTATGTCACCATTTTTAATTCTGATTTCTTATGTTGTAGACATTGAGATTAATCTACTTTCTCTCCAGGCCTTCCAGAGCCCTGACGATCAGCTGTGTTCGAGAGCAGCTACTGTAAATGACACTGGCAAAATGACAAAGGTCAAATGGAAATGGTTAGAAAAACACCTAGAATGTAAAACTCTGATGTACTGTTATACTAAGGAAAATGCTACCAGTATATCACTTTAACATATGTAAGTAATTGAAACATTTTGTGTCTCCTCTGCTCTTTCCTGGGCCGAGTGCCCTGATATTCAACCCTTATCTTGCTAGAGTTCTGGATAGCTTCATCTCCTCAATCATGAATATTAAAAGGGTGCTAATACACTTTCCCCCATTGCTCTCACTATTATGATCTTTCCTGGACCCAGACGCACCCCACTTCTGAGACCACTTCTCCTAACTTCTACTTATGTTCCCCTTCTACAAGGATGAATGAGTAGCTTCAGATATTATCAAGCTCTCAGTCTACTGCTTAATTTGCAAGTGAAACTATAAAGGAAGAATGAAAGAGAATGCTACCAAAAATAAAAAGTGTGGGTGACTAAATGTGAGAAGTCAAAAACAGTAACTGTAATACCAATAATATTTTGTATGGTGAAATGTATTTCCTGCATCATGTCTTGAAGGAAAAGCAGCAATTAGAGTATTCAACGTTGTTAAAAACAGCATCCAGAAAAAGTAATCTTTTCAACTTTCTCTGCTAATGAAAATAAAAAGGCTGAGATCCCCCTCAAGCACAGTAATAATAACTTTTCCCATATTCAGGTATCCGCTTGTCTTAGAAGTTTAGCTTGACACTGAAATGTTATTGAGAAAGAAACTGCCACCCACCATAGTCCTAACAAAAACACCTCTGTTAACATCCAGCTTGCTAATGGCAAGCAGCAGAATTCTGAAGAAAATTATCTTCTGGTATATTTAAAGTTAACTAGCAAGAATATGTTGAATTTTATGCTGAGTATGAGGAAGACTTAAATCAAAGTATCCCATGCAATTTAGGCAACAAGGAACTCTGCAGGGAAGCTGAAGACTTAGAAAAGCTAAAAGAGGTTTTGGAGGACTGTCAATGACAGAGCAATGACTGCTCCAGCAGTCTCAGCACCTTTGTCTAGCTGAAAACAAAATATAGGAATTACAGAAAGATGAAGCTGAAAAAACAATTCAGAGAAGCTCTGGAACTTTCCCACTATTGAGCAACACAACCAATCTGAGTTAGAAGGTCATGGATTTAGTATAAAACAGGAAGAAGCTGAAAGGGGCTGATGGAAATACAACACCAAACTCCTTCATTCTTTTCTTAGTGATCAAAGAGTTGCACTGCTGTTCTGGTGACACAGAAGATTCAAAAATTACGGATAGCAGAAGATACTTGATAGCTGTGCTGATTCAAAAGGATCTGAGCTACTAGAAATCTCGTTCGGCTTAAAACAGACAGTTTTACCACTTTTTTCAAAATTTGCGAACAGGATAGGTACTGGAAAAGGAAGCAAGCTGTTTAGAGTACATTGCATATGTGGACAGATGTCACCTTTTATACTGGGGACTTTTAACTCAGAAGCTGAATTACTTGGGCTGAAACTTTTCATTATCATGGGTTTGGTCTAGGGATGATGTAATGTTAATGGACAGAGAAACTGCCAACAAACATGAACTGTATTTACAGACTTGGCAATGACACACTTACAATATCCTGGATGTGTGCCCCCAACCTCAGATGCTGTGAGACATTGCTCAAGTAACAGCACAGATAAGAAGGCGCAGCTTTTTCTGACAGATGAACTGTAATGAAGACCTGCAGGTAAAGTTTCCTGGCACTGTATTCATTTGGCACTTCTGATAAAATCCAATTAAATGCTTGTTTTTTATTGTTTTCTCTCTAATTTTTTTGCAGTGCTAATAACCTTTGACCCAAACCCTGTCCTCTAGCAAGACCTACTTTCTCGGGGGAATATGCACATGTGGGAGGAATTGGGTTACTGCTCTCCCGTTCACAAATGGAAACTGCTCTGACTCAGTCCAAGGGTAAATAAAAGCAGTGCTTTGCCTATCATAAGCAACTCTGATCTACATAAGCAGGCTATCCTCCCCAAGAGACACTACAGCAGTTCAGAACTGACAGAATGTCATTCTGCTCCACCTTAGTCCAGGAAATGCTTTTGTAAAAACTTGTACTGCCAAATTTTACCCCAGTAGAGAATTCCCTCAGGATAGGAGCGTCATCTGATTGAGATGATTAAGGAGTCCAAAGAGGCAGGATCATCAAAGGAGAGAAAACATGCCTTGTATTTATTTTAAAAACTAAAAGATGACAGCTAAAAGTAAAACTGGCCGATGTGAAGACATCCAGCTCAGCCCAGAAGGCAAAATCTTCTGAAGCATAGAGTCAAGTGTAGAGAGGTTTGCATATTTATAAACATGGTCTGTTACACTCCTACCCATTGAGCAGATCTGTGAAATTTTTGGGAAAAAAAACGGTCTCTTCTTAGCTGGAGAAACTGTCTGGAGCATAGAGGTGCCATTTCTCTGACAGGGATTGCAGCACTTGCATTCTTGCATCCTATTATAGATTTAAACTCTAGATCTTAACTGCTTGATTAACCTCCTGCTTGTAAGAAAAAAGAGTCATCTTTCAATGTCCCACCTCAAGAAAAATTGCAGGAAGAATAAATTTTTTCTCTCTTTCTTTTTTAAAATTAGGAGTGCTCAAAATTGGAGTTACAATACAATCCTTGTCTCTTGCCCTACCTACTGGATGTACGTCTTCAGAGTAAAGCATCCACACTCAAGTTGCCTATGCAGCTTCCTTGTGACCTTTCAAAGCGCTGTAATTTTCTCACAACATGTAATGGAGGTATGAATGTTTTTATCTCATAAATGCAAAATTTTCATATAACCATAAAGAAAAATAAACATGTAAGAAATGCAGCTTATGATTACAGCCCACACAAGAAACGTGGGCAGCACTTCCTCATCAGAAATTCAGAGGAAGAAACAGCTGTGTGTGTGTCTTGGCAGGGAGGAAGAGAGAGAGGAAGTAACTCATAATA